GCAATAGTTGTAGAATATTGTATGAATAATTCATATGCTAACAAAATAATAATCTAAAAATTTATGTTTACCAAAATCCCAATGAAAATGAGAAACTTTTACTTACGTCACTCTGGGAAATTCATCTTCATCAATAACATCGTCTTCAGTGTCCATTTGCCCATTAGTGGAATTATTGGAAGGCAACACTTCGATGTTACGGGAACTGTTCACATTTGTATTTTGCCTATCATGTGAATTGCTACGAATGGGATTTAGTGAAGCAGCTGTCATAGGTTCAACTTTAGCTATCATTTTCGGAACTGGTTTCTTAGCCCTCTTTATCCTTTCTTCCAATAGAGACATGTCCTTGTCTGAAATCTAAAAAAAATTTTGTTCTTAAAAAAATCTATATACTCAAGATGTTTCCATTATCTACTTTCTAAATATCAGTTAACTGATTGTGAAGATAAATAATTAATTATGGAACGTAAAAAATCGGTTTGAAAATTAAAATTTATGCAAAAGTACCAACCTGTCCAACCATCTTAAACACTTTTTCACCAACAATATAATAGGCTTGAACAACACAATTCAATGCGGCATTTCGGACACTGTTATCTCTATCAGAAATCTGTTTTGCAACTTCTTTAAGACACACGGACGGAGATGGAACACAAACACCAATACTGATCTCAAATTGATAACTTCAAGTATGAAACAAATTAATATAAATGGAACAGTAACTACTTTAATAATTACCATAATGCCTACTGGTTAGTCAGATTATAAACAGCACCTGCAGAGATACATGAATCTAACAATACTAACTAAATTCGCTTTATATTTTCTACCTCCTTTAAAAAAATACTGAAGTCTTACAGAAGCTTGTTCTTTCCGAAAATTTGTTTATTTTTGCGGCGACCCTTTTGTTACTTGATTCCAAACTTCGTTCCACATTTGCAGTCTTTCTTTGTAATATTCCACACCTTTCGAATCCAAACCTTTGGAGGCAGACGTCTCAGTATCTGCTGTTACTTCGGCAAATTTCTCCGCTATAAATGTAGTTTACATTACTATTATATAGCTTATTTGTTTATTTGTGTGTTAAGCAATTAAATAATACACGCACGTACTTAAAGTATCCACAATTCTAGAATTTTAACTCCAGGTACAAAGAAAATAATCTCTTGTTGAATTAGGCAAATACTTACTTTCTTTTAAAGCTTTTCTTGCTTGTCCTATCTCTTTCAGACCATTGTTAACATAATCCTGAAGAATTTTACTCTCTTTCAGATACGGCTCGATCGATATTTCAGGATGTTGTTGAAGGAAATCATATAGAAGATTTAAGGCGTCTTTGGCGTCGCTCTTTTTAGCCATTTTTTCAAAAATCTCTTTCAAAGTCTTCTGAGCTGATCGAGACAAAGTGTCAGTCTTTACAGGTATTTGCTTAACTTCTTCTAGTTTTAAACTCTATAAAAAAAATTATTTAACGTGTTATAGTCTTAAATAGGACTCTTTCATAATATTAGTGTCCTACTTTATAATTACCTTAAGAAGTCTTAAAATGTAACTTTCTAATTCTGATTCGCTTGTATTGGGAACCTTTCCCAAATGCAACATTAACTGACCTCCTTTTGCCTTAGTCATCGAATGGACTATAGTTTTAATTGTCCTTAAAGGTGTGTCAGATGGTTTGGTTTTCCACCATGCGCTAGGGTAGTCTTTAAGGAAATTATGGATTTCCAATAAGATACTATCATAGTCTAGTTCTTCGGCCCATGTGGGCATGATTTTTATAACCCGCCACAAACACTTCATTACCAATTCAGTTTGCCTTGGCGATCCCTCAGACCTTATGCATTCATGTAGCAGTTGTATCAGAGCGCTTAAAAAAATACAAAATAAAATTATTAAAAAATATCCATAAATTCTTTTAAATAAATTTAAGTAAACTTTAAAAGTAGTATAAACAACATTTTTACTTACCAAATTGTATTGGAATGATCAGATCTTTCGATTATCTTAACACAGTGTACGTTCACAACCCTCACGAAAGCATCACCATCGTGACAACCTTCAAGCTTTGCATCCACAAGAAGCAATATAAGTCGCGTTAGAACTTCTTTTAATAAAGGAACTGACACTTTTGTACCTACATTCTTATTTTGATAAAACTAAAAAGTACATATGAATTTTTGTTTCTATTTTTGTCTAAACTACAATCAATAACAACTTACTGCGTCCAAAGCGGTTAATATCAATCTATACATCCTTGTCACCGATTCGTTACTTCTAGGATCTTCAGGAGCAATGATTCTCAATTGTGCTGCAATTCCAGACATAAAAGAATCTTCATATTCTGCCATTAACTGTCCCTTGTTTGAAATCAAAAGAGTTTGAAGATGATCCATTGCCTAAAAATAAAAACCTTAGAAAAAAAAAAAAAACAATGTGATTAAAAAAAAACACCTCAAACGCTGAAGCTCTATCGGTCGAACTCATTTGTTTAATCAGTTTTTCAAGCAAATAATCCCTGGATCCTCCTTGTCGAAGGGATGAAGCCGAACCAGAAAGAGGCGATTGATTAGGCAATATAGGGTTGGGCGCAGATAAAGGCATCACCCTGTGGAGAAGGCACAAGGTTAATCTATTTTTTAATTTTTAATTTATATAACTTACTTTACGCGGGCATCATCAATAGATGGAACTACAACCTCATCTTTCAAGAAATCGAGATCAAATTGGTACAATTGTAATTTAGGCATATCATACTTTATGCTGTCCAAACGTTTTAGAAGTTCGGGATCCAACTGGTAGGGTCCACTGTACTCGGTAATTTCTTGTTGAGGAGGTTGAGGCAATAAAGGCCTAAAAGATATTAAAATTGTTTTACAGATTAAAAATCCAAAACAAAATAAACATTTCGGTTTAGAAATGTAACTTTAGGATAAGCCGAATCCATGTGTAAGATAACTCCGATACCTCATTCGAGCAACAGTTGTAGAATATTGTATGAATAATTCATATGCTAACAAAATAATAATCTAAAAATTTATGTTTACCAAAATCCCAATGAAAATGAGAAACTTTTACTTACGTCACTCTGGGAAATTCATCTTCATCAATAACATCGTCTTCAGTGTCCATTTGCCCATTAGTGGAATTATTGGAAGGCAACACTTCGATGTTACGGGAACTGTTCACATTTGTATTTTGCCTATCATGTGAATTGCTACGAATGGGATTTAGTGAAGCAGCTGTCATAGGTTCAACTTTAGCTATCATTTTCGGAACTGGTTTCTTAGCCCTCTTTATCCTTTCTTCCAATAGAGACATGTCCTTGTCTGAAATCTAAAAAAAATTTTGTTCTTAAAAAAATCTATATACTCAAGATGTTTCCATTATCTACTTTCTAAATATCAGTTAACTGATTGTGAAGATAAATAATTAATTATGGAACGTAAAAAATCGGTTTGAAAATTAAAATTTATGCAAAAGTACCAACCTGTCCAACCATCTTAAACACTTTTTCACCAACAATATAATAGGCTTGAACAACACAATTCAATGCGGCATTTCGGACACTGTTATCTCTATCAGAAATCTGTTTTGCAACTTCTTTAAGACACACGGACGGAGATGGAACACAAACACCAATACCTACCACCAAAATAGTTTAAAAAATAATTTATTACGTTAATAAATTGAAAAAGTGTGATTTTTAAACGAAAGTTGCCGTTCAAATACGAATCGGTCAACCAAGTTTGATTTTATCAATTCTCAAGTTTAAAGATAAAAAAGTTATTTTTATCATAGATCACACCTTTAAAACAAAAAAAAAGAAATTAAAAAGTTATCAATACAGAACGGTCTCCTTTAACATATTGGATATTATTTAAATTAAATTATAAATTCAACAACTGCTTTATATTACCATAGTTTTCTATCAAAGACCCCATAATGTCCAAGCATTCAGTTCTCTGTCTGGCGTTTTTAGATTTCAGACCTTCCATGACATACGAAAACAATTTACTAACAGGAAAAATGTTACAAATTTGATTGAATAATGACCTAACTCCATTTCTTACAGCATCTTTAGGATCTCCTGTCTGCAAGATGCTTACGTTTATACATTTACGATAAAATAATTAAAATATAACCTTTAAACAAAGATATGGTATAAATGAAGAAGCCTCGCTTTCCAGCAGATGATATTTGTTTTCTATTAAGGCATTGAAAACAGAATGCAAGTATTCTAAAGCTTTCAATAAAACGGACGGGTTAGTGTCAAAAAAGCGTAAGGTAACCCACTTCAATATCAAGTCTAAATTAGAAATCAAAGCCTGGATATTGTCTGGAAGTGCTTCCATTAATGAATCAATTGCTTTTAAGTGATATCTGAATAAGAAAAATACTATTGTATTAACAGTAAAAACGAAAACAAAGAAGCTTTTACCTAAAATCTGAATGAAACATATTAGCAATCAAATTCCTGTTAATATTGGCGTTAGTCATTTGTTCTTTTAAAAGTTCAACAAATTCTTCCCTAGGCGTAGTGAAGTTCCATTTGAGAACTTTGAGTTTTGATTCATCTATTGTTCTTTGATGTTTCATATTGTTAACAGTCAGTAAAGGAGACGTATCCACCTCTTCTTCCTTTTTACGAACAGGAGCAGATTTTGGAACAACTACTGGACCCTAAATGATTTATTACTTTCAAATTAATTATTTTGAATTTTATGAACTTTTTACCTTAGCTTTAGTACCAGGTTTTACAATTGTAGCTGATTTCGTACCCCTAACGACCTTATTTTCTTTCTCCTCAGACGCCTTCGCTTTTGGAAGAGGCTTAATGGGAAGATTTGGCCTTGCTTTATCTAAGGCGGCCACAATAGTCGTCTTCGAACCAGGCTTAAAACATGGATCAAACCCAAAACTAACAAAACAGCTAAAAAATTTATAGATTTACCTTGAGTTTATCACTTTGCCTCAACATCGAATCGTATCCTAAATGTATCATGAAGCCAAAGACTGCTTCGTGGGCGTTTTTTCTCACATCCGCATTCCGATCTTCCAAATTTGAATAAAGGTGTGGAATGCAAGCATGAAGTTCTTCCTTAGGTAAGGATTTCACTTGACAAAGAAAAGTTTTTTATATTTATCTATTTGTATCTTTTTTCACAAAGTACTCACTTTTTGGCAATTTCTCAGCTAGCCAATTCCACAATTCAGTTCGTAGAGTTGGAGAACCAATTTTTAACGCGTCTGCAATCATTTCAGCTTCAAAAAATTCTTTGTAGGCACACAGTTCTCCATAGGTGTTCATACAATTAATACAGCCAGATCTAATCCAAGCTTTACTGTCACCAAGGCCTAAAAAATTAAAACATACTAATAAAATCTTATTTTCTTTCTTAAAATAACTCAACACCAAGTTCAACGGTTACATAACTAACTAACTATAATAAAAGAATATCTCAGTCATCATCTAAGGTCTTCAGTCCAAGGACATCTTCCCATCATAAGTTAATCTTCGCATACCCCTCCCCATCCTTACTCCTGTTTCTGCTTCTAATAGATATAACTAATCCTTCTTGTCTCAGAAGGTATCCTCCCAACCTATCCCGCCTATTCTTTATTGATTTCCAAAACGCTCACTGTCTTATTCTTTCTAACAACTCATACTTTTTAAACCTTTTCAATCCACATTTTTACATCCTATAAATTTTTTTTTCTCACGTACATTTATAAAATAAAAATTTCCAAATTAAGTCATCGCAAACACAAAAGAGACTTCTTTTTGTTATTTTGTTATCTAACTTCTTAAATAAATTAATTTAAATATAATGAATACTTACCTTGCAGAAATCCTGGCAAAAATACCCTTATGTACTGTTTGCATGGTTGTCCCATAGAATTAGCAATGCTTTCACAAATGCCTAAAGCAGCCTGAGCTATCTTAGTATTGCTGTCAACTAGGCGTAAAGCAAGAGCCTGTGGTAAATCCCCAATGTTGGGCTTAATCAATTTCGCCTCTTGTATAATAGTATTAACTTTGACAAGTGCTTCATTCCTCACTTTCCAATTTTTATCTGACATCTCAGTTATTAGAGCTTCGGTGATTTGTGAACTTATATCAACGCGTGGAAGTAGGTCTTGGATGTTAATTTCCCCGTCTGCACACGCACCTTCAGTCTCGATCTCTTCAGTATCACCACCTAATGATTCCGTCGTTGGAGACTTTTTAAGGCCTTAAAAAAATGTCAAGATGCACTTCTTTCTACATATATGTAGTTTATAATTTGGAATAGAAATTTCTGTTTAATAGCTATTAAACTGTATTAGGAATCGTATACTTAAAATTCTGTCTAATTGTAAAAAAAATTTAAAGTATCGTAATGGACTAATAATTTATTTTTATTGTATAAATAAATATGTTTATTTATATTGACAATTTTTTTTTCACGATCTAAAACCCCAGATTTTTAGTATCATTAAAACAATGATGCTTCCTAGACAATGACACAAGTCAAAAACTCTTCGGGGATGAGGTATCAGGGCATTTGTAGGGTAAAGGGAATTTCGGGAATTAAATCGTTTGATTCACTGGAAGGCGTATAACTAAAAACGTACACAATAAAACTGGAGGGGCTCTTAAAGTGAAACTTTGGTTTACTTACCTCGCGTGGGAGCCGGTGGTTTTTCATTTTCGTATTTTGAAAACTCAGCGTTGATCTGTTCCAATAGAGCGGGTTTTTCATTTTCAAAAAACATGTGTAACATCGGTCCCAGATATAAATATAGAGTACCAAGGAAATTAATTGCAGATAATCGGACAGCAGGGTTTGTGGAACCCAAAGCTTTTTTTGAATTTTCTATTAGATTCTTAACGTTCATATTCCTATCAAGTAATTTTTAAATGAAATTAATAACGCTCAAGTAAATAAAATTAAAACCTAGACGTACCCCAAACCAAATTCTTTTATTGCTCCAGACAACCAAGCAAGACTTTCTTGCATAACTTTAGGACTTTTTTGACTAAAAGCGAAATCCATTACATTTTCTGCCACAAATTCCAGTTTTGTAGCCTCTGCAATAGCTGTCAATGTTTCAGCAGCTGTAGTTCCATTCTTTGAATCGCCCAATTTGTCTGCGATTTCAGAAATACAAGCATTTCCTGTAGTTCTAGAAATGAAATGATTGTGTATTAGCAGCTCGAATAAGTTAACAATTTTTTCCGTATACTCACGTAGAAAATTTGCAATTTTCTGCCAAATATTTTATAATATCTAATCGTGCCTTCAGCACTTGGAAATTCGTATCTTTTAATCCAGGTTTTCTCTTGATAACCTTGACAAAAGCTTGGGTAGGAACTTCGGCAGATTCCATCATTTGTATTTTATTAGCCATATTCTCAATAGCACCAAGTCTAAAATAAATAACCCTTTTCAATAAATAAGAGAAAAAAAAAATAATCAGATTGAACCTAATTTTCCAATTAGTGTCAATGAGGCCGTTCATAATTTCATCAGTCAATAAATCTGTTGATATTTCAACTGCTTCTTCTTCACTTATTTCGTTTTCTCTAGCACGTTCTGGAGTAGCTTTACCCTTACTTTTAATTATTGTTGTGGTTCCTGAACACACTGCAGATGCAACACGCTTCTTTGCTGTTAACGTAATAAAGTAAAATACCTTTAAAAAGTTACTCATACCTATAATTCACAACAATTTACTACAGATTTAAATTATTTAACAAATTTTATTTGATTTCATTTTTTAATAAATTGATTATCTAAAACTCAAACTATTATACAATGTTTTAATTGATTTTCTTTTTAGATGAGATGCATGCATACTTCTGCAGCTCAAAATCAAATAAATTATGTGTAATTTATATATAAAATAATGAGAAAAAAAGGAAAGAACAGATAAGTATTAAAATGAGTCCTACTTTTTACAATAGTGGCTGTCCCTGAAGATGGCACTGATGATGAACTTTTTTGTGTTGCTAAAATGATATTTACAATGAAAATTAAGTAGAATACATATATCGGAAAATTTACGTTATGAAAGCAAAGTCACACAATACATTACTGAAAAGTAATGTGTCAAGCTTAATGGGACATAATAATGAACACAAGTTGAATATCAGTAAATTAACAGCATAAACCCAACAATATAACGAAGTACAGTTTTAATACTAAAGCTTTAAAATCTATAAACATAAGCATGACATATTAAATTTAATTTTAAATGGCAAGCTTTTAGAAATCTTACTTTGTACAGATTTCTTAGGTACAGTCTTGTTACTTTCATTAGACCCGCTTATTTTAGGAGGAGCAGTAGCGGCACGTCCTTTTTTTACTGCAGGAGTTTTCACAAGTATTACAGCTTTATCACTGAACTCCTTTATTTTCATCATTTTCAAATTATCTTTCTCTAATTCCGTCAAAAACGGACCCAGAGCTTTCTCACCAACCAATTTCATAAGAATACCTAATGCTTCAGCTGAACTGTCTCTAACAGTTGGATCTAAAAAATAGCCCATCTTACTTTACAAGTCCCTTATAAGAAAATAATTGCTTCACTTACCTGGTTCATTGATGTTTTTAATTAAACCACTACTGTATGCTTTTAGTAATTTCTTATTTAGAGCTGTAGGCTGTGTTTTTGCAAAAGCTCTAGCCAAAAATAAGGCTGTTTCAGATTTTACCGCAGGATTTTTATTGTTCAAAATTTCAATTACATCCTCAAAAATAGCTTCGATTGTTGTCTACAAAAATTGTAATGTAATTTATTTAATACATAGATGTGTACTACTTCTGTTGTGCAATTATAAAGGACCTTGTTTGTTAATTTTCTATACATAAATAATAAATAAAATACATATGATAAACATTTCACTACATTATTCCACTTTAATTTATCTTTTCAAAATTTAAGAGAAACATGTTACATACCGACAAATATATGGCATCAACAGCTTCTCTAATAGCAACTACTACAGTTTGCTTCTTTTCTTTAAACTTTTCTAAAAGAGCTGGTAAACACACACCGGCATAAGTTTGAAACCGTTTTTTTAATCCATTCGCAAGACCACCCAAACATTTAGTGCCAACAGTAACTACAACTACATTACTATCCTTTTGCACTATCTGTAATATATTGTAGTAATTAAATAGGCACCACATCACTTGTTTTATATAAAATCAAAAAAATTCGAGACAAGTTTTGATGTTTTCACAAACAGGTGAAACAGTAGTTTACAGATTCATAAAAAACTTGCACCAATTACTATTACCTTTTTTAGACTTCTTACTAGGTCACCATAGTCTCCATTTTCTAATTTGGGCGTTTTTAAAAGGTTTTCCAACAGTTCTAACATTTCCTTTCTCTCCTGCCATTTTTTTGACTCAAGTTGCTCATAAAAGTTTTTAGGTAACTTTGAAAGAATATCAACTGGATCTGCAAGATCATAAGCGTCAATGGGCACAGCAGCATTTGTTTCATCTTGTGGCTCTTCATCTAAAACAGTAATTTCTTTTATTAACAACCTTTCAATGTTCAATATATTTTTACCATCATCTTCAACTGCTTCTGCTGCTAATTTACTCTGCTTTTCTTGCTGTGACCTTAAATATCTCGTTGGTGACACCTTCTGCCCTTCAATTTTTGTAAATTCAGCTTCCAACTCTGTTATTTGAACAGCTTGCAAGCCAGTTAGTTGAGATCTAAATTTTTAAAATAAAAGTAAGATGTTAATTTAAAGGGAGTTTTTCTTTATCTACATTTCAAGATATAAAAGTATTAAATAAACTTACTTAAGAGCAGGTCCGATCCATCGGTAAATTTCAACAACCATTCCTTTGGCTTCATCTCTAACATTTTTATCTCTATCAGCAAATAAAGTCGGAATCTTTTTAATAGCTGGCTTGACATTTATAACTTTAGATCCAAATTCTCTCAAAGATACTGTTAAGGCATTTACACAAGCTGCAACTATCTTGGGATTTTTTTGTTCAGTTCCTTTAATTAGTTCTTCTACCACAGCCTCTTGCTTTTCAATTTCAACAAACATAAGAGTAACTTGTAATGCCAGCTCTTTAGTTTTTATTTTTTGTGCTGCCATACACTTTGTGACAACTCCTGACATCACTTCTCCAACAGTTTTCCCTGCATGTGCGTAATTCTCAACATAGGCAAGTGTGGCCTCCAATCCTTTTTCTTGGCTGGCAGCATTGCTATCAGTTACAAATTTTTTGATAAGACCAAGATATTTTGCAAATTCAGGTGACTTTTCGTCGTCTATCTGTTTGAATAATTTTGTCACTTCCTCATAACCATTAATTCTAGCTTTCCAAGATTTATGAACACATCTATCTTCAATAGGCAATTTTTTCCATTCATCATCTTCCATTTCCTTTAGGATTAATATTATGTCCCCTTAAAAAATGTAAAAATAAAATTCCTAATGAAATAAATACCGTAGTTATATTGTTCTAATCGATAAAAATTTTCGAGTTTCGTATTTAAAAGAGTACGGAAAACTTAAACAAAATTCTATCTTACCTTAATTTAATATGAATGAAATAGCTCCTGCAACCTCAAATTTAAAAGAAATAACAATTACTTTACAACAAATTTACAATTTTTCAGGTGGTCACCTAAAATACTGCAATGGCAGTTATACAGTTAGTCACCAGTATATATATTCGTTTTTGAAATGTCCCCAAAGTAATTAATTAAATACACGGTGCCTGGAATAAATTCACATTTCCTTAATTTAGGGCAAATTTCTAACATCTGAAGAAAGCAAATCACAATTCAAAAGATTAAGACCACAACCGATATACTTGCAATTTGCAATAAAAAAAATTGAAATGTGCGGAATAAATCAACAAGCAATTAAAATACGACCTTATTGCGCATGTCAAAACCTAGCAATTGATTTGAATTGAAAAGGTAAATAATTCATGAATTTTTGATTATCAACAATAGTAGCATACATGTATAATTGGTGTAAAAAAATTTTCATTCTTTATTTTATATTTCCCTATCATATGCGGTAAATATATAATAGTTGCAATAGTTTTTTGTTAACTACTGATAAAACAACTTAACGAGATTTTTACCCTTTTTTGTTGTTATTTACTAATTTTTGTACCCTAACTAAACAATAATACTTTTACGTAAATAGAAATAATAACACGTGAATATCATATTTACCGTTTTTACGCTTTGTGGGTTTGTAGGTATAGTACGACAGAATACGGTAAACAGCAAAAAATATTAATTATATTTATACAAATAGCCAAAGATGTTAAATTAAATCTAATGTTAACTGTTTATTTTATATTAAAAACACATGCACTTTTCAGGCTTTTATTCCNAAATATTATACATCGAAGAAATAATAATAATTACCAATTTTATTATAGCCTAAATGCAACGAATTTTATTGCCTTGCACTACATAAGAAAATTTAAAACGGTAAAATAACGATCCGTGAATGTTATATATAAAAATAATGATCAAGATATATAACGTTAAAATAAACAGAAAAACTGATATTTAAATCTATAATAACATGATCTGATAATTTAAAGAAAACAGTAATATCACCTGATTTAGATACTAATTATTTCACTTGAGTCTTTAAGTGCTGCAAAAATTCATGATATGACAAAGCATTTTCTACTCTATCTTCTAAGAGGCGTTCTATAAATAAATGTCTATTAGGACTATTGTCCTTTATTACTTGCAATACAACGGGAAATGGCTTTTCATCGTTTAAATAATTAATAAACATATTCAGTCGTTGACTTCGCGGATTGTCCCACAAAGGTAATTCGCATATTTCGTCAGAAATTGCATTATAATCAGACACTCCAAAAATCGATGCTAGAAAATCAATTGAAATCGACGGACCTATATACAAAATCATACTATCGCCCTGATCCATCAAGTATGCACCTTTGCTATCCAAACTTCTAGCGCTCAACTGCAAACGAAGTGGTTGTGGCACTTCTTCACCTTCCTGATTTTTTGTTACTTCTTGTTCTTCTAAATTATGAACAGGATAAAGATCAGGATAGATCTGTTGAATTAACAAATATAAAGGCAGCGATTTCATATCACACATTGCCTTGATCCTGTCATCCAATCTTGTAGCCGTTCCTGTTCTAAAAGCCGGATGTTTCAATAAAGCCGAAATATATAAAGGTAATAATTTCAAGCAGTTTGGCGCAAGCAATCCTGAAGAATTATTATCCACGTTCAAACTTAACCGGTAGCTTGCTAAAACATCTATGGCAACATTCAAAAATGCTTCTCTAGCATCAGATAGACTAGATTGTAAAGAACGATCAACTGCCATTTTAGAAAGAAGGCCTACAATACACTGTTGGTCGGCAGAATTGATAATATCAGTTAAAGTAGAGGCGACAGGAATACACAATGTATGTACGCGAATGCGTCGTTCCCCTTTGCTCGAAGTATACAAAAGAGCAGCTTGGAAACAGACAGTTTGCAGCTCAGATAAGCTTTCTTCAATTGCAATCTGCATCCCAAAACCAGCATCTGGATTCACGTTGGGCAAAGATAAAAGATCTGTAGAACGAACAAAGAAGTTCCCATGAAACGTATGTATTGTTAAACCTCGAGTGCACCTAATTCTCATAACTGCCTCAAATCCTATTTTCCTCGTTAAATATCGTTTCAAACATCTTTCGAATTTTTCGTTGTCGACAAGTCGACTTACGTTAAATAACGGAAAATGGTATATAGAGCCTCCACTAAATCTGCTTATTCCTGATATTGTTGCCAGGTCAATGTATTGCGAATTAATTATAAATAAGTCAACAGCAATTTGCTGACCACTACATTCCAAAGCTAATCTTTTATAAAAATCATTAGCAGGATTTAGATGTTGCACATCAGCTGCTGACCTTTTATTTGGATCTTCGCGAGGTGAAAGAGCACCTGGGCCCTTATTAGGTAAAGCTGCTTGAAATACTGTCACGCGACCTCCAGTGGGTCCTATCAATTTATGTGCTGCTTGCAACGCAGCTCCAAGAGCAGAATGACTATCGTAACTGTTCTTGAAACGATTAGGAAGTTGCGTCAGTAAGTCTAATATGAGCTCTTTCCTTTCACTCAAATTGACTAAAAGATTGTCAGGACAAGGAAGAAACACATCATCAATGTCAAGAACAGTCATTTCGTGGGGTTGATTTAGACCATCGGCCAGTGAATAAAAGTGTAATGCGGAATTATAAGCTAAAACTCCTATTTGAGTTCTTGCATCGCCAGGTAGACTGGACAAATTACTAGCAAGAACAGTGCACAATGTTTGCAAATAACCACTATCTACTGCAGCTTTAGAAACATCTATTAAAAATAAATAGACAGCAGGTTGTGGGGGGCGAAGCATGTATTCAGAAGGAGCAATGTATTCTATGGTACTGGACTTTATTTCCGGTCTTCTCGATGGATCACCATATGTCTTACTTACAGGATCGTATTGAAATTCCTCTGGTAATTCGTTTAAGCGATAACACAAATTACATTTCCACCTCTTTGCATCCACAAAAAAAACAAACGGATTTATATATGTTCTACATGCTCGACATCTAACTATGGTACTACATTGAATAACAGGAAGGTGTTCTAAATCTTTAAAAGGGTGAATTAAAATGCCGAAAGGAAGACGGGACTTTTGTAATAGTGAATTACTTTCGGGTATTTTAGTTATGGTACATCGGAATATATCTGGGCTACAATTTGCTGCATCTAGAAAATCTTGACCCAAAGATACTTTGGGTGGCTCTATTTTAGTCTGAGGCAATATATTCGGAGTTTGTAACAGATCGACATTTTCATGGCCCCATAATTTATTAAATCCTTGGGTAATGCTCAAACTTGGATAATTCTGACTTATAGGAACTCTCTGCTGGTTATATTGAGTAGGGGGAGTGTTATAATTAAATTTAGCTTGTGAAGCAGGAGCATTTGAATTCAGTGGAATTGGAATATTTTGAGCTGGTTCAAGATGTGATGTAAAATTCGGTTGTAACGGTTGACCAGGTGGTGGTACCGGATAATTTGTGTCTGATATTTTTTGTCCTACTTGAGTAGGATACCTGTTTGGTCTTGATTGGTATCTGCTTTGCATTTGTGGAACTGAAGAAATTTGTTGTGTGGGACTAAAAGACGGTAGAGCATTTTGTTGAGAATTAATAGGGAAAATATTTTGGGATGGTAATGAATTTTGTTGAAGGCTACGTGGTGGGATTACAGAGCTTTGTTGCATGCCTGCAGGTATACTCATTGTACCTTGTATTTTGGAGACAGGTGGTAAAACAGAATTATATGATATATTTCCCGTACTAATATTTGCATTTGAATGTAAATTCTGTGGGGGAATTACAGTCATAAATGGTACTGCTTGTGACTGGATTGCATTTCTTGAAGATGCAAGAGGTTCAGTATATCCAGGAGTCCATTGCTGTGTCTTCACAGGTGGGGGCTGGTTAGGTGATGAAATAATTGTTTGTGGAAGAAATGAATTAGGGGGCACACTGGCTGAAGGTAATAATATAGGCTGAATATTTTTATTGAAACTTGAACTTGACTGTGTTGGAACATCACGCGACGCAAATGAAAAATTTTGACCACTACTAGCTTGAACACCAGGTGGGTTACTTGGAAATTTTAGTTTATTTCCATCAATTGGGAAAATAGATTGGGAACTTGTAGGAATAACTTTTTGTTCCAGTACCTGAAATCCTGAATAAATTTCCTTGTGTGTGTTTTCATTGTTTGAGTTTTGTTTGTCTTTTGTCTGCAAACCTTCAGCAGTTTTTGAATTTATTGTTGGCACATAGTTGGCATTTTCACTATTATTGTTCAGAGGCACATTTTTGAAATTATCATCAGCTTCAATATTTTCCAGTTTTAAAGAACTCTGCTTTGATGAAACAGTACTTATTGGAGAAAATGCACTATTAGAGTTAAATTTGCTAGGACCATCACTTTTCAAATTACCATCATTTTTTAAGTCAACACCAACTGGAGTTGAAGTACTAAATGTTGGCTTTGGACTTCCACTAGGAGTCACTTGTTGCATACAAGTTGCAGTAACTGAGAGTTTGCTATAGTTTTGAGCTAAATTATTAATATTGGGATTCTGATTTCTAACTGGTGGTAATTGTGACAATGGAATACTTGTCCTAGGTGGTAGTTGTGATGCTGGAATTTGCATTATACCTGGGGATGATCCTCTTGATGTACTAGAAGAACCAAGCCCATTTAGTGCTGAAGGTAACACATCTTGTTTTAGAATACCATCCATTTGAGGTGGTATACCATTTGGTAGAGGTTGATTTGTATTCAGACGAGACATGTTCTTCCACTAAAATTACAACCAGTTATTTTTGGATTAAAAAATACGTAATTAAAAACAAACAAAATAATACAATTATTGTAAAATACGTACTATTAATTAGTAATGGTAATTGCTATAAGATAAAAAAATTACAAACTATCCACTGCCTACACACTACCAAACAATGAATAAAAATAAATATCTGATTTACCTGTTGATACGCTGCACTGCAATCGTAACTTTTGTTTAATTCAGTACATTTTTTACATTTTTAATTGCACTATCTAATAATTTTTAAGTTCTCACTTGTCATTGTCAACCTTTTTTTTGTCAATCTACGTGGCTGAAAGATTACCAGTGCCCTCTAGTGGCCTAGTGCTCAAATGCATAAAAAATTACATTTAAACCAGTGTTGGCTTTTACATTTTTATATATTAGTTTTTTTATTTTATTTAGAATCTAATTTACAAAGAATTACAGAAATTCTTCAGAAGTAAAGCAAAATTATCTGTGCGTGGATCCAGTTGACAAATTACTTCAATAACTTCACAAGTAATTTAATTTTAAGAAGTTTGGAGCAGACAAATAAAAAATTAAATTTGTTTTTTTATTAATTTTTATTAACTAAAAAAGAAATAAGAACGTTAGTTCAACTATTTGTACAATACAATAATTCATTTTGGGACTCATAATAAAGTATTTAAAAAATGCGCTCTATTTATTTGGTGAAAAAATGTTTTGATATTTTAGTTTTGTTCGGTATTCACCGTATAAAATTAAGTTTTATGTTTATCTATTGTTAGAAGTAAAGTTTTGTTAAATTGTAAATGTTTAATTAGCGTGGCAACCCCTGTCAGTATTAACCTTTTAATTTATAGTATGTGTAAATAATGCCTCTTGTTCGTAAATTTTAACCTTTTTTTATGATATTCGTTATTTTTAGTTTCTTTGTAAGTTTCATGTTTAGATAGATTTATAGCTCTTTTGTGTAATATGTTTGGACCCTTTAGTGGCATTTTTGCTAGGCTAGGATTAGTACTATTGAATTTAAATTTATTGTTTTATTAGGGTAGCTAGAAAATAAGAAGCACGCTTTCTAGTGCCATTATTTGTTTATATTGTATATTTTCGTCGAGTCAGTTTTAAGAGAAAGTTTTTTGTTTTGTATGCTCGACTT